AAAAAAAGTTTCTTGGTGGGGCGTTGAGCTAGCGACCGCTTGCTCTTCAGCGCACGACACAAGCTGTTAAACCCACAGTGTGCAGGTGCCTTAGGTTGCCGACGGCAAGCTATTTATATACACCATGTACCATTGTCAATACTCGGAGCTCAGCAACTTAATCGCATTTTCGTCATCAGTAGCAAGATGGCGTGAGGGTAGGGCGTTGGGCACGTGCGTTCTAAAGGTCTAAGTCTCGCACCACCCCACGCATGGCGATGCGTGTAGGCTGCTACACATGACATGATTGAAGTCCGAATAGGTATTCACAGGTGTGGTCGCTCACTCGCGTGCGCGATATCTCGGGGTTTGGGCGCTTTGTACCTCCTGTGCTTCCACCGCTAGTTGGCTTTGAAGTAGCAGTGGTTAAAATAAAGCACGAAGGTCCCTTCGCTCACTGCCATGGCCGCACTTGTGAAACGAGCGCGCTGCTCAAGCACGAAGAAGTAATACTTTTCACAGTTGTTCCCGATTGTACAGGTGTATACTTGTGCGTTCATGCGTCTTTTTTTATGTACAGCAGCGTGCTTTAAGTTTCAATCTTTGACAGTTGTTTGTCCGCGCTCTTCTTGTGTGTGCTCATTTATTTCGTCCGTGATTTCTGCTTGAGGTACACGCGAAAAGTTTCGAGCTGCTTGCCGTTGTTCGTGTGTCATTCCACTTTGTTGTTGTAGCATTCATTCATTCACCCTTGCAGCGAAACAACACACAACGAATGCTCAACTACCTCTGAAAAGACGCGTTTCACTTTAGTGTTATAACAATTCGTAAAAGGAGGGATCAGCCACGTTATCTTTTATTGTTATTTATGGTTCATGTGCCAGTGGGCACATTTGGTTATTGCGACATTCATCGGTGTACATGACTGAGCCCATGACTATTGGGCTAAAAGAGCTTGCAGTGACAACCAGTGTAACTAGCGCAATGCAGCTGGGGCGACAACTCAACTCAGTAGCTCTTTCTTTAAAATGTGTTGGAATATTTTGCATTAGAACATCGCTTTCCCATAGAGGACTTGCTGGACTAGCAGGTGACTGTCTCGCGCAAACTACGTCCGCATGTCTGGGAAACTTCTAAATTATTTCAGAACCTTTCGTTTTAATTACGCACACAGCGTGAACGTTAGAGTCTGCTCTGAAACTTGCGTGGCCGTACTGCGCTAACATTGGAATCTTCGATAGTACATGTATAAAATCTGACGCGCTTTACCGCTTGGCAGATTACTTGACGGCCGATGACTTCTCGCCGCCGTCACTGAATGGCATGTATATTTTATATTTTTAGTTTTCATTTTCCGGACACAAGCTTGCCCAAATAAAACGTTCTGTATTCCAGTTTTTTTTTTTTGCAGTGTTCTTTTTAATCCCAACGACGCGACAATATTGACTGTGAGCGGGAGGGGCTTTGCTACCTTCTTATCTTCAAAGTCTAGTAAACTTGAGGCGCGTCACCAGTGCTTTCAATAAAGGAGTAGGCTTCTTGGTGTGATTGATTGATGTGTGGGGTTTAACGTATCGAAACCACCATCTGATAATGACAGACGCTGTAGTGGAGGGCTCCGTGAATTTCGACCACCTGGAGTTCTTTAACGTGGACTAAAATTTGACCACACGGGCCTACATTTCTGCCTCTATCGGAAATGCAGCCGCCGCAGCTGAGATTCGATCCCACGACCATCGGGTCAGCAGCGAAATACCTTAGCCACTAGACCACCGTGGCGGAACGGCTTCTCGGTGTGTCGAATCTTCACTGTTTTTTTTTAGTTAAGTACATAAGGAAGGCAACATGTATACGCACATATATCAATGTAATATTGAGTCATATGGACGGACAACGTTTTCAGAATCTACTTCGAGGAGCCGGATGTCCATAAACGCTGCGTAGTCGATCACTATAGTCATTCTATTGATTTCGCGAGTGCAGTCATTTATCATAATTTCTCGCTTCTTCTGGGCATCCCTTCCAGTGGCGTTTACGCCCTATTTCGAATGCGCGTCTCCTACCCCTTTTTATTCTCTCCTACGCTCCACCCTCTCTCACCTCGCGACGCCGACGTAGACAGCATCTGCTAGCGAGTTTCTTCATTGAAAAAACCGACTGCTCGTGCTCAACAACCGTTCACTGGCCACCCCGTATATATCTATACGCACTGGATCTTGACTTCTAAGGTAGTGCTTGTGGAAGATTTCTCCTGAGCGTTGTTGAACAATAAAATTCACAGTGTGCGCGTTATCTAAAAAAGACACAGTTTTGCCGCAAAGGCGAAGCAATGAACGTGACAACGCCCCGCTGCAGTGGTCTAGTGGCTAAGGTACTCGGCTGCTGACGCGCAAGTCGCGGGATCGAATTCCGGCTGCGACGGCTGCATTCCTCGTAGGAGGCGAAAATGCTGTAGGCCCGTGTCCTCAGATTTGAGTGCACGTTAAAAAACTTCAACTGGTCGAAACTTCCGAAGCACTTCACTACGGTGTCTGTCTTAATCATATGGTGGTTTGGGATGTTCAACCCCACATATCAATCAATGAATGAACGTGATAGCTACAAATTGGAAGATCAAGCGCAAACTGGCAGTCAGATCGAAACGTGTCCCGCGTTCCTCACGCACAAATGACGCACGAAACATACTCACACGTACACATGCACGCGAATAAGCGTCTCTTTTGATACTTTACTGTGTCTGAAAAGCAAGTGGTTCTCGCAAACGGATACTGCAATGATTTCAGTAACCTTGTGACCTTTGTGCGCCCGGTAACAACAGCAAAATGGTTACAGTTAAAGCCCGAGGCTAGCCAAGACGTACGATCGTCTTGACCGCGAGATCAGGGCGCGCGAAGGAACGAAGCCCCCCTCCTCAAGGCGGGGCAAAGTTCGCGTGGGAGATAAGAGCGCTCGCCGCCACGCAATGTGGCGACGCGCGCGCATTTCGTCATCTTGCTAATAATGGTGAAAACACAAAAATTCCCCCTTAAGATGCCCGTCAGCAGCAGTAAGTGGTAGATATAAATAGCTTGCCATTTAAAGGTTTGACAGCACGCTCCTCGGTGGCTCAGTGGTTAACGCCTCGCAGCCACGGTTCGGACGACAGAAGTTCGATTCCGTGCACCCGAGCCTTTTTCTGGATTTTTTTCTTTCTTGCATTTTGATGTTCATGTGTATACATATACGGAGAGTGATGTTGACGCTGAGGCTGGCGGCAAAATCCAATAATTGATATTGCAATAAAACGTTCTGCGTGTCTCTGTGTCCAATGCGAGTTTTTTGTGTCTCATTGCCCGTTATCACGGATCGCAATGTTCCAGTAGGAAACCCCGGTTCTTCTTAGCGTGCTTTGAGCCTCCCCAGGTTTCTCTCCTGCGCAACGCCGCAATGAGCGCCAACGTCAACGCCACCGTACGTCTAAGCGTTAGCGTCCACTTTTTCCCATCTACACATGGTTTCTTTTATCGGGAGATGGTGTAATTTTACAATAATAATTTTACATCACTTCGAAAATGAAGTCCTAAAAAAGTATGCTAAGACAGGTTTTATGATGCACACCTGATCTACGTTACCTCTAGTGTGGCGGTAACATCACGTTGCTGCTTGGAACTTGCATGATTGGGAGCCGTATCAGGAATTGAAGCTCCACGAATGTTGTCGTCCATATACTTGCACTTGCAAAAGATGGATAGGCGCCAGGTTAAGCAGTTGGATAGTTTTCTTTTTCGTGGCTGCCGAGCGCTCTGGACTCCACCATTAATGTTCTGGGCATTTGTGAACGTCCCACTGGCGTGTGCAGCCCGTGAGGCGGCGAGGAGGCAAGTACACCGCATCTCTTCGGAGGTGGCCTATTGACCCAGACAGCGAAGTTGCTGCAGCTTTTCGTAATGTCGTTGCCAACAACACCATCTGAAGTTATTTCTGTTCTCAGACAGGTTGGTTGCGAAATGTCTCGGGAAAACACTGCTGCGCGTACAACTCTTGGTGGCGGTACCGTTTGCTTTCCGGTAGCTGCATATATACGTTGTGCGTAGCACCCCTCCGTTTCAGTTCGGCCTCATTTTAAACATAGTGACGTAGGTGCTTACAGTCTATTCCTTCATACGATCTCGCCGTGGAGCTCGCGAGTAGTTGTATTTATGAAGCGTCACCGCCATGTCGTCGATGATCACTCTATATGGGCTGCATCACTACCCAAAGGCACCGACAATGTCTCGTATCTAACTGTGCCCGCGGTATCGAAGATGCGCGTGATGACGTTGCTGTTCATGGAACTGTTAGCATAAAACTTCAGGCGTCAGACCAAAAATCTTCAGGTTGAGTCACTTAAGTACGGCAGCAGTAAATGGACACGTGTTACGCCTACTATTTCGTAGTGAACTTTTAAATCAACGCTTGCTGTAAGCTCACATACTTATCGCCAGTTTAAAGTTCAAAGTAACCGTAATAAAATTCTTTCAGAACAAGGAATATGGTTTAATTGCTCTTTGCTCGAAAAATGGCGGCCCTGTTTTCGCCAGCACTCCATTCGTCTTTCTGGTGCCGCCGACTGGGGAACAGACAGATCGGAGGGCTCGAAAGGCACGTCACCACTGAGGTTGTCGGGGGAATGCACGGAAGGTACGAGCGAAAGGAAGTGGGCACAACCAAGCACAATGGAATGGAAGCCCAAATCGCCATTCTTCTACAATGGAATGGGTTTGTCTGCTGTGTCTCACAAACATAGCAAACAGTACCTATTTCTGCAACACATCATTTGTATTCACATTCCGTTGATAACAAAGGCAAGCAATTACCGTACGTACACCCACAATGAAGTTTGCAATGCATGGGCGCTACAGTTATTAAGCAACAGTGGAAAGTGATGTGCGTGAATCATGTATAACACATTTAGTGCCCTTCAGTGGGCCTGTAATGCTCTTTAATGCCCTTCAGTGGGCCTGTAAGGTATTTTGAATAAATAAATAAATAGTGATACTCACTCTGAATGAACATAGGTAGAGAAAAAAAGTGAGAGTGTCAGCAATACGGAGCACATGCTTAGTTTCGTTTGATAAGCACTCCGTGTTAGAAATCCCACATCTGAGGCACTCTGCTTTTATATGTGTGAGTAGTCTTAGTAATATACAAATACATTAACTAACTATGAATCATACCACACGAATCAAGTCTGTTTATTGAGTTATTATTTGAAGACCAGTGACGCATTACAGTATAAAGCTGTAGAAGTATCGTTCAACTTCTTTTCTTAGAACTTCACTTCGTGAAGTACTTCAATCGTATCTAACAGCAGACAGGAGTACCTTCACAAGTGTTCACACATTTTCTTTTAGAATTTTTGTTTACGTGTGTAAAACAATAGAAGGTATGCTAGGTCCGAGCTCACTATCCTTTAATTCTAACATTAATATTGAAGCCACTCCCAAAGGCAAACATAGTTCTTTATTTATTTATTTATTTATTTATTTATTTATTTATTTATTTATTTATTTATTTATTTATTTATTTATTTACAGATACTGCAGGCCCTACCCGGGCCCATGCAGGAGTGGGATACAAACAATACATTCAAGCAATAACTAGTAATACACTGGAGTACAGGGCATAAATGAGAGAATACATAACTATCAAGTACAGAAAAGTCAAATATATTTTCTCGCTGTTCAACAGAACTGCGCACAACTAAGAATATTTTCAACATTTGTAGCCGGATGAATTGCACTCAAATGACACTATTTTCAGCATACATCACTTATATGGTGAAATTAATCTTTTCTATCTGTTGAGTGAATGAAGCCGTCGAGGCAGCATTCACTACTTCCGCAGGTAATGCGTTCCAATGAAAAATTGCGCGAGGAAAGAGAGCGAACTTGTGGGCATTAATGTGACTGGGTGGCTGCCTAAACGTTTTGTTGTGATTTGTCCTAGCTGAAAGTTCTGCCGCAAGTGCAAAGCAATCAATGCTATAACGAAAAAATCCCAGCATGCCCACGCAATGAATGATGATGAGTGGGGTGAAGCGTCCATCCATTCGTCCGTATTCTCGTCCATCTGTCCGTCCATGCTTCCATACGTCTGTCCATTCTTGCTTCCGACCTTCAGCCTGTCCACGCGTCCTTCCACCCGCGCGTCCGTGCGTCCGTGCTTTCACCAGTCTGTCCACCTGTCTGTCTGTCCGACCTCCCGTCTGTGTCTGTTTGCCTCTCCGTTCATCCGTCAACTATACGAAAACCACTAAAGCCATGTAGTGATATTTTTTCAAGGATGGATGGATGGATGGATGGATGGATGGATGGATGGATGGATGGATGGATGGATGGATGGATGGATGGATGGATGGATGGACGGACGGACGGACGGACGGACGGACGGACGGACGGACGGACGGACGGACGGACGGACGGATGGATGGATGGATGGATGGATGGATGGATGGATGGATGGATGGATGGATGGATGGATGGATCGATGTATCCAGCTGTGCTTTTTAGATCGGGTGGTAGCTCACGCCACCTAACCATAACGTTAAGTAGTATCACTATGTGTTTGCGGATTGAATTTTACTCGCGGCTTGATTGTAGTCACCAATCAGTTAGCCTCCTCTTAGTTATGTCTACCTGTCTAAAGTCTATTGTGCCTTCACTGTCCCTAAACACCAATGCTTTGAAAAATTCCGCGCCTTTAACGTGTACTATTGGGTGGAGCCCTTTACATAACATTATCAAATGTTCATCCGTTTCCTTCTCCTCTTCACACGCACTACATACTGTGTCTATGCCTTCGTGTTTGGCTCTATATGTCTTGGTCCGCAGTACTCCTGTTCTGGCCTCGAACAGCAGAGAACTACCCCGAGAATTGTCGTAGATATTTTTTTGCAATTTTCTGCTTGAAACGTTTGGTAGGTCTCTAGTGATGATGTCGTAAGCATTCCAATTTTCCACATGTCCCTCTCTCTTTCCTTCGCTTTCTTCTTAACCGATGTTCCTATTCGACTTCGTATTTTGCTGTGGTCTAAATATCTGCTTGAAAGCTTTTGAGTGCACTGCCTCCATTTAGTATCAACATTCCTTATGTACAAGTAGCTGAAAACTTTCCCGCCCCAACGCTCTTCTCCCATTTTTTTCAATCGCTCCTCAAACTCTATCTTGCTGCTAGCTTCCCTGCACTCAAACGATGTCCATCCCATGTCACCGTGCACCCCCTCATTGGCGGTATTCCCGAGTGCTCCCAAAGCAAGTCTACTTATGCCACGTTGTTTAATTTCCAGTCTTGTTTGGGCATCTGATAAGAACATATGCACACAACACTATCTATTCACCAATTCATGAACTAGAGGTGGCTACATACTACTACTACTACAACTACTACTACTACAGTGGAGGGAACGACCCACAGCCTGGGAATTTTGGCGTTACGAAAAGCGTACGCGTGCATTCGTTTCGATATTCTTGTTTAGATCACGCTCGTGGAACCTGCAACATCCGAGTGGAGTAAATTACGCAGTGTTAGAGTCTGATCATGGCTGTGACACAAACGCTACTTAATGGGAAGTTAAATGCCTGTGTTCCGTTGAAGGAGTACATCCGTGGTGCTTACAGCGGAAGTAATGACGACGGCGTAATACGTTTTCAAAGCATCGCTACGTTAAACAGTCAGTCCCGTGCAACAGCGACGGCGCGCTATTCGCTAGTGACCCACTCCTGGGGCAAATCGGTCAGGCAGGCTCGGCACAAATTATCTCGGATTCAGTTCATACGTCAATTTGAGTTCGCGCAGTTTTCTGCAGGACGCACAGTATTACGCAATACATCGTTAATGCACAGTCGATCAGCTGACACCACCACCCTTCGCACTGTGGCAAGGAACGTAGCCCCACCGCGGTGGTCTATTGGCCAAGGTACTCGACTGCTGAGCCACACGTCGCGGCATCAAATCCCGGCTGCGGCGGCTGCATTTTTGACGAAGGCGACAATGCTGTGGGCCCGTGAGGTCAGATTTGCGTGCACGTTAAAGAACTCCAGGAGGTCAAAATTTCCGGAGCGCTTCACTACGGCATCTCTCATAACCGTATGGTGGTTTTGGGACGCTAAACACCACATATCAATCAATATTGATCAAGAAATAAGGTAGCGAACATTTAACAGTTCCTATCGTTTGTGAAGGTACTTCGGCCCAATACACATTCATTCGACGACCAGGAGTTCATCTGGTGAAGGCGGCACGGGGCGTGCGTTCGTGCGTTTTCCTGTGCGAGTTGCGGGTTGATCATTCTCCCGCAGCCATCTTGGATTGCACGGCACGTCATTGCGAATAGGGCCACAGGGAGGCCATGGCCGCGGCGCCACACGTCTCACCTTCATGCGTCACTGTGTCACGCCCTTCCTCATCGGCAGCCAGTGACGGCCCCTGGGCACCCTCTCCACTTCTACAAGAGGTACCTTTAGTAATTTAGAAGTGTTGTTTTTAACTCAATAAGATGTAGGTCGTTTAAAGTAAGTTACCAGTCAAACACATTATGCCACTCAACAAAATTTCAATCTGATCCATCAAATAAAATTGAGTTTTCAGAACAGCTGGCTCGTTAGAATGATCCTATCAAGTGAAAACAGCTGAAAAGGAACCATTGAGTCCTTATGGAAGCTCTTGAGCAGAAAGTCGTGTTATGCTGTCACAGTGCAAGAAAACGTCATCCATACCGTTTGCAACAACAGTTCCTTACGACATTTTTAGGCTGGATTTTATTAGTAAAGGCAGGCGTGCGTAGAATATTTATTTCTAAAAGTCTTTAATGCCTTACACAATTCAATCGAGTGTTCCCTGTATATTGCGAAAAAAACATGAGTTTGGGGACGTTTTGCCTATCGTAAAAACGTTTTTTTTTTTCTTATTTCTTAGTCGTTTGAGCTTTCTCATGAAACCGTGACTTGGGATACTTGTCCAAATCAAAAACAACTTGTCCAAATCAAAAGTGTTTGCTTAATTGGCTGAACTAGTGGCCAGTAAACGGTGTCATATTACAGCGATACACACTGGCATTGAAAGCGGCGAACAGAGTGTCGGTCGTCGATCTACTGACAAGTGGCGAAGCGTGTCGGCATTTATAAACTTGCCATCGACTATTCTAGCGTTATTGTTAGCGATCACGTAGGTTCTAGAATAATCTGCAATATTCATGAAGTGGGCGTAATCTTAGCGAAGTGGTCTACTACTGTCCTGAAGCTTCTCGAACAATGCAGGCGTGGTTCGCGCTCTGAATTACGTACAGTGTAACGGGGCGATAACAAAACTTGAGGAAGGAACGTGGAATATGGTTAGCAGTAGAAAGGTGTGGCGTCTGTGAAATGAAACAAGTGCAGTTCTATTAGTATCAGACCATGAGCCCTTTGTGACGCCACTCGTCAAGTTTTAGCAGTTCACGCTGAAGATTAACTCCATCGGAATTGTTAGCAATGTGTCGGAATAATACACAGACATCAGCAAAAAGTGAATGTTAGACGAAATATGATCGGGTAAGTCGGTGATATAAATTAAGAGGAGGGGCCTAGAACTGTACCTTGTGGCACATCGGAGATTACGTTAGAAAAGGATGAGTATGTATCATTAGCTTCTACAAATTACTGACGGGTAGTGAGAAAGTCCTCAATCCAGTTGCAGACAAGTCAGTAATGCTTAGTTGAAAGAGCTTTAGTAGTAGGCGGTTATGAGTAACTTTGTCAAAGGCTTTCTGAAAATCTATACATATCTATAAACCTCTTATGGGAAAATACACACCTATGTTCAACTGCTGGCGCCTTTGTGCTATAACAAACAATAACAATTTATTTTTAATTTTTACAGCAATGATCTGACTGGCCAGCTTTGAGCTGTTTGTCAAGTCGAAAATGCCGCCTGGGTCCAAGGACTTCCCGCCCCCTGAGGCGCCGCCATCATCATCGACGGAGGGTGGGATAGGACATGGGTAGAGTGTACTAGAAGTGTTGAGTGGCGTGACCACTCCTCGCCGCCTGATCGCTTCCGCGCGTTGCCCGTAGCGGCGGCGCTGCAGTCGAATAGT